TTGTCTGAGAACACCTCAGACAAAGTTTCTTTGGAGATCTCCCCAATTGTAATGCTGGACTCAGAACCCTAACCAAGAAAAGAGAAAAGACAGAACAGGTCAATCATCCATCTCAGCTATATGTTGGCAGCAAAATACGGAGCAAACGGAGACTGTATGATGGACTATGTCAACCAGTGGATTCTTCAAAGACCTCATAGTACTTGGAGTGGCAAGATTGGCAGCGATTCATAACGGTTGAACTATCAAAACCACTTGAGCAAGAACCTCAGAGTATACCCTACATCCGGGACCTAAGGAGGGTGGGAAATTGGGTGGGCCTTCTCTCTTAATACCCCCCTTTAAGGAAACAATATGGAAAAAATAGTCTTCCCCACTTTCCTATTGCCCTTGAACCTTTTTACCCTAATTAACTTTGTAAAGATTATAAAAAATATAATAATAAAAAAAGGAAAAAAAGAAAACTCTATTAATTTGTTTATAATATTATAAAACTAATATTGTTGAAAGAATGAAGACTGGGACAAAGAAAAAAAATAGCTACAGTAATATTACCTGAGGGAAGGGTGTGGTGGTTCACCTAGCTAGTCTTCACCTCCAAGCACCAACATCCCATATGGGTGTTAGTTTGTTTCCCAGATGCTCCACTTCCCATGCTTATGATCTGGGAAAGCAGCAGATAATGGTCCAAAGCCTTGGCAGCTTACTCCTGTGTAGGAGACCTGGTGGAAGCTCCCAGATCCTGGCTACAGATTGGTTTTTAACTCCAGCTGTTGTGGCCATTTGGGGAATGAACAAGTGGATATAAGATCTTTCTCACTAAAAGAAAAAAAAAAAAGAATCTTTCTGTTCTCCTCTCTTCCTTTTGCATCCAACCTGAGCCTCTCCCCAAGAAGTGCAGGCCAGACAACTCTGCTAAACAGCAAAGCTTATTGAGGAGGCAGGTAAACAGACCAGCTGGCTGCAGTCAGCTCTCCTTTCCTTCAGACCTTGAGGTGAAGGTTAGATGGGTTTTTGTGGAAAGAGTTATACAGTTATGGGAACCAGGTGAGTTGGGCAGCAACAGGAGGCTGCCACGGGAACAATGAGTGGACAATAGGTGGGCTATAGCAACCTCAGGAAGCCGCCATGGGGACAATGGGTGGGCTGGAGTCGCCACAGGAGACAGTCATGGGAATAACGGGAAAATAAATCCTGCAATACTGATTCCTGGAACAGAGGGTTGCTAGCAGTGTATGTTACTCCTTGTGATCTGGCTCAAAAAGCAGGACAATGGCAAAGCATTTTGTACAGGAGCAAAAAGAGCAAGTTAGCAAACTTCTGCAGGCCTGAACCAAAGTGACTCCATTTTGTGACCACATTTTATATGCCTTTCCAATAAAAATAAGTAAGTCTTAGGAAAAAAAAAATCACCTAAAGACAACTGCAGTTACCAAGTCTTCTTTTGTAACCCTTCATATTAAAACAAAACAACAAAAACTATTTGTAATCATACTACAGACAGTTTCATATTTTCCCCCACCTAATGTTGTAAAATCTTGCCACATTGCTCTATAAACTATGTAAACATTTGTTATAAAAAATGTTATTGAGTACATATGGCTGATTTGTAGATGTTTACCTTATAGATACCTCAATTTTGCATTCATAAATAATACTGTGATGCTTAGTTTATGAATACACATTCATTGTATTTCAGAGCATCTGTTTCAGAAGGAATTACAGATTTAGGATTACAGATTTGTTAAAAAGATTTATTTATTTTTATTGCTAAGTCTGATATACAGAGAGGAGGAGAGTCAGAGAGGAAGTTCTTTCACCTGATGATTCACTCCCCAAGATAGAGTGCAATGGCTGGTGCTGCACCAATTCAAAGCCAGGAGCCAGGAACTTCCTCCAGGTCTCCCACGTGAGTGCAGGGTCCCAAGGCTTTGGGCTGTCCTTGACTGCTTTCCCAGGTCACAAGCAGGGAGCTGGATGGGAAGTGGAGCTGCTGGAATTAGAACCAGCATTCATATGGGTTCCTGACATGTTCAAGGCAAGGACTTTAGCCCCTAGGCCACCGTGCCAGGCCAAGGATTACAGATTCTAAGACTTATGAACATTTTAAAAAAGGATTATTTATTTGAAAGGCAGAGTTAGAGAGGAATACCTTATATCTGTTGGTTCACTCCCCAAATGGTGTCAACAGTCAGAGCAGGGCTGGTTGAGAGCCAAAAGAACAAGGAGCTTCTTTCGGGTCTCCAATGTAGATGCAGGAACTCAACCACTTTGGACCATCCACTGCTGCTTTCCCAGGCCATTGACAGACAGCTGAATCAGAAGTGGAACCAAGTGAGATGTTAGGACCACAGGCAGGGACTTCACCTGTTATGCTACTACACAGGCCTCATGAACATTTTTTTTTAAAGATTTATTTATTTTTATTGGAAATGCAGACGTCCAGAGAGGAGGAGAGACAGACAGGAAGATCTTCTGTCCAATGACTCACTCCCCAAGTGACTGCAATGGCTGCAGTGGCTGGAGCCAGGAGCTCTTCCAGGTCTCCCATGCAGGGGCAGGGTCCCAAGGCTTCAGGGTGTCCTCGACTGCTTTCCCAGGACACAAGGGAGCTGGATGGGAAGCAGGGCTGCTGGGATTAGAACCAGTGACCATATGGGATCCCAGCACGAGGAAGGTGAGGACCTTAACCACTACACTATCGTGCTAGGCCCGTCATGAACATTCTTAAAGATTGAGTCACAACTCTAAATCATGTTTGAAAGCTTATTAGTTTGCACTCCCATTCACAATGAGTGTACCCTTTTAATCTCACCAGTTTTGAATATTATCTTTTTTCTTAAATATTTATTAATACCACAGCTGCCTGAGATATAATTTCTGGTCTGTGCCATTGCATAGGATTAAGTCATAGCTTTCTAATCAAGTGCATTTGGGTTAGCCACAGCTCTGCCACTTCCTGGCCATATCACAATGAGTACATTATTTAACCTTTTTCTAAAAAGCAAATTAATTAATTAATTAGAATTATACAGTGAGTTGGGGATGGGAGGGGGAGAAAGAGAGATCTTCCATTTGCTGGTTCATTCCTAAATGGCTACTTGGCCAATCCAAAGCCAGGAGCCGGAGCTTTATCTGAGTCTTCCATTTGGATGGCAGGGACCCCAACATCTGGCCCATCTTCTGCTGCTTTTCCCAGGCCATTAGCAGGATGCTGAATTGGAAGTGAAGCAGGCAGGGCTTGAACTGGCACCTCTATGGAATGCTGACGTCAGAGGTAGCAGGCAATGCTGATTATGCTACAGCCATTTTGAAGCTCACTGGTTTAAAAAAGAAAAATCAATGAATCTTGTTTACTACCGATACTAGATTGTTGTAATCATGACAGGAGACAGTAAATTAAAAGTATTGCAGGGGCTAGCATCGTGGCACAGCACTAAAGCCGCAGACTGCAATGCCCTCATCCTGTCCAGGGACTGGTTCAAGCCCTAGCGAATGGTGGCCATCTGGGGCTGAATCAGCTGATGGAAGGTCTCTGTTTCCAACAAACAAATCTTTTTAAAGGAGCTTAGCAGGTGACCAACCTGCCAGGTGACTCCTTCATTTCCAAGAGTGAACGTGCCTGTACATAATTTTGATTAGAGAGCTATTTAGGTATTTACCTAAATCTTCCTTGCCTGCAGCCTGAGAGTAATCTCTTGGTGGTCTGTAAACATCACATAAACCTGTTTGGTTACAAAGCACACACCTGGTTCCCATCCTTGAGGAATTTGCTACTTAAAGATCTTGGAGGTTAACCCCGAGTCCCTGGGGGAGTTTAATTGTCAGCAAGGTCTCAAAAGGGTAAGGGGTGAAAATTCACTCCAGAGGAAGCTTAAGGAGTCAGCTGGAGGGAGGGTTCCTGGAGAAGCCAGCCTCTCGGGCGAAAAACAGTTAAGTACGTCCTTGAGTTTTGTTATTGGAATTCTAAAGTTTGTTCACAAAAGATACACTTAAATAGAACACACCGCAAACAGGGCGAGCCTGGGTGCCTGTTGGTACTCTCAAGGCAAAGTTTGACTTTTGGAATCCCAAGAGAAAACACGCTGAGAGGAGGCAGCGGGGAGTAGGTGATCCACTGATCCACGACCCCGTAGTTAATCTAATCCCAGACAGCAACTGAAGAGGCGGTGGGGAATAAGGGGACACACTGTGATCGCACGACTCTCCCAATCCGGAATAATTTAGAGTTGCCTGCCCTCCTTCCAACAGCGCAAGAATGTCATCCATAACAGCAAAACCATCACACATCCTTGTTGTTTGGATTAAAAACTGTACTTGCGATTGGCGCTATAGCCACGGTGGTTTGGGTGGGTGGGGTTTAAAAAAACCGTCCCTGAAAAAGCTAGTTCCCCCCCCCCCCCGGTTGGTTAAAAACCCAGCAATACAAATTTTAACCGTTCTGCATCGCGGGTAGGCCCGATCTCCTTGTCCCGGTCCAGGACCTTCGAGGCTGACGGCCGAGGGAACTCCTGGAGGCGGCGGGACCGCCCTCAGCGAGTCGGCTGGCACCAGCGGGAGTTTCAAGTTTCCACGCGCGGGGGAGGCGGCGGGCGCGCTCCGTGCTCCCCGGGCTGGGCACTCCGTTCCCCCTCAGCCGCAAGGCTTGGCCCGAGCCCGGCCCTCCCGGGAAGGGGCTCGCCGCCTTCTCTCGGGGTTCCCAGGCCCACACAGCCTGGCCGCTCGGGTGTCTCCGTCCCACCTCACTCCCCGGTGGGGGGAGGACCGCGACCCCCCGACGCCCGAACCCGGAGCCCGAGCCCGGAGCGAGGCTGCTGGCCCGGAGCCTGCGGGCCGGCTGGGGCGGGGCGGGGCGGGGCGGCCGTGAGGAGGCTCGGCGGCGTTGGCGCTCAGGCCGCGGCGCGGGGCCGGGCGGCCGGCAGGGGGAGGCGGGGGGCGCGGGCCGGCCCCGCCTTCCCCCGAGGAGGCGCCGGGCGGCCATATTGCGGAGCTGTCTGCGGTGGTGTTGGTGGTGCTGGTGGCAGCGGCGGCGGCGGCGGCGGCGCCTCCTCTTCGTCTTCCGCGGCCCAGCGCTCGCACCGCTGTCTCCGCTTCTCAGTCGTAGCCGCGCCGCCGGGTGCCGCCGCGCAGTGCCCACTCCGCACGCCGGGCGGCCGGGAGCCGCTGCCTCTCGGAGGGTAAGGCGCCGGTGCTCGCTCGCTCGCTCTCCCCCTTCCCCCACTCCCCCGCCGCTGGGCTCGGCCGGAGACGCTGAGGTGGCGGCGAGAAGTTGCGGGGCCCGAGCTGCCGCCCTGGGCCTTGGGCAAGCTCTTCACCTCCGCGCCCCGCTGGCCGAGGTGTCGCCGTGGGTGAACGGCCGGGGCGCGGCCGAGGCCGCTCCGGGGGCAGGTGGGCACCTCCAGGCCCACCCCGAACGGGTGGTGGGGTCGCTGCCCGAACGTGCCCGCACCGGGCCAAAGTCGAGCCGCATTCGCGGCGTTTCTGGCTCCCGGCGGGGTTTGGAGTAGTGAACCTTCGGCGTCGGGCCTCGTCGGTCTGTTCCCGCCGCCTGGACCTGGGCCCCGGTTCCGGCTGGCCCGGGCCCCGAGGGGAGTTGGAAGCGTGGGCAGAATTTGTGTTTTTGCAGGGAAGGGAAGGGGGCGTTTATTTAGAACTTCGGCCTTCCGTCTGAAAGTAAGGGTGTTGAATTACTAGAGAGCGTGCGTTGCGCCCCAGCGGCGGAGGGGTGTTGCAGTACGGGGTTTGGGGCGCCGGCCGCTCCCGCCGCCCGCACCCGGGAGGCCCGTCCGCCCCGCGGCGCGCTACCTGCTGCTGCCGCCCTGGTCCCCCGCCGCCCTCAACTTTTCTCCCGCTCCGGGCAACGCCGCGTCTGCTCGGTCAGACCCCACCAGACAAGTTAAATTCCCCCCTTCTCCTTCGGAGGGCTCCAGACGCAGTTCCCGGTCGAACTTTGAAAGGGACCAGTACATTATTCTTTCAGACTCAGCAGCGCGCACCAATTCCTGTGTAGATTAAATACTTCCAGTGGGTTCCTCCCCTCCCCCTTCCTTAATGAGATTGAAAACGTGTTAAAACGCAGCTTGGTCATGAATGCGTTGTAGAACACCGTAGATGTTTGGGAAGGAATGTTACTAGCTCGACGTTGTGGCACGGAGACGAGCGTGTAGAAGTCCGAGAGATTAGGGCTTGTTTGATAAAGGAGCACTTTGACAGGAACGTGACCATCTATTGTTGATGGAGCATACATTTTTTTTTTTTAGAACACCAAACATTGTTTTATGATGGACGGCGTTAAGAAGGAACAATTGCCCTGTTCATTTGGCTAGATAAATAATGGCTTAATCTGTTTGCCCAAACTGCATGATTGGATCTGAAGATGGTGCTATTTGGGATCAGTTGTTTTAACTTTGGGATTTCTTTTGCTTTTCTCCGTGTGCTTTACCTTTCAACCGCTTACACCAATTTACTCCAAAATGCGTAACAGTCCTTTTCAGGCTAACGGTGTGTTGGAAAAAGTGCACTTTTATTTCTTTGCTTAAGCGACTTTTTTCCCTTCAAACTACATTCATAAGAACTGACTCTCCATACAGCGGGCTTTTTGGCTTTACCTGCGTGAGGCAGCATTTGAGTATGGCGTTTAAGTATCGTCTGATTCTCCCCCTTGTGGCTCGTGTGTGGTGTGTTCTTCGTCGCTGTGTTTCTGCACATGGAGGAACATGCAGCAGAGTCTCAGAAATATTTTGTAGGATAGGCTTGATTAACTTTGCTGTAGGGGAAATAAATTGAGTCTGTTCCCTTGGAAGCTGTGGCTACTTAACTGTTAATTAGACTGATTCTCTTGCAATGATAAAAAAAAAATTGAGAGCCCATTGGTTTGTCTTCCTCTTGCTAACAGTCTCTTGGAGATAGGGAACAAGTGTGTGTGTTGTGTCACTCTAAAAGCAGGGTTGGATTTTGTTGTGCATTTTTATTTTTGGTAGGCTGTTGAAATGAACATCTCTTTATGTTTTTATTCTACTTTTACTTCCCAACATTTCAATATTTACTACATGTGAGCTAATGTGTTAGTTTGCAGTGCTTGATGTAATAGTCTGATGGTGTTATTTTTAATGTAATGCCTTTTGACCTATGCTATTTAAAAATGGGGGCAAATCTTAGCACGTATTTTCTATATGGAGAAAAAGGTTCTGTTAAGGTTGTGAAGACTGCATTGTGCTGGGGGAGCATGTGTGCGTGGGGCGCACTGCCGTGAAGTCCAGCAGGTACCTGCTTCCTGGCTGGCTTGGCACTCCAGGCTACCAGAGCTGGGAAGCTCTGCCTCACAGGCCCCCTGCAGTGCAGAATGCAGCCAGGCTGGGCTGGCTGTGGACTCCCCTAAGTTACTTCGAATCTCGTGGCTGGTCTTACTGATTGGCCAAAGGCTGTTGGTGGGAGCAGCTTTGGGAGGGGAGGTGTCCTCTAGGTTCCAGCCTGTTTTAAAGAAACCCTACCTTTCCTTGTCACTTAAGTTCTGATGTATTTCTTCATATTCACTGTGAATATGTACTTGAGAATGTATTTTCAAACTATGGAAGTAATAAAGTAAAAAAGTCCAGGAGGTCATGAAGAGAAAAGTCCTCTTTCCCTAGAATCCTCCAGCCCTTTCTTTCCCCAGCCTTGTTAATCATAGGTGATTGCTGTTAGCAGTTCAGTCTGTGTAGAAGATAACATTTAAGCAAGGGTGAACAGAAACTTTGTATTCCTTGTGATTTTTTAAAATTCAGTTTGCTAAAATGAAGTTAAATTGTAACAAACATTGAATGGATATTTATTGCTTGTATTAAACAGGGAACAGATCACATTTCTCACATTTTCATCATTTGAAAGAAGTCACACAGTGGAATTTACTAATTCTCAAAATTGTGTATGTATACATACAGATTTTCTTTTTTCCCTTTTTAGAAGATTTTAATTTTGTTTGAAAAACAGAAAGGAACAGAGTTCCATCAGTCAGCTGGTTCACTTCCTGACTGGTCTGCAGTGGTCAGGGCTGGGCCAGACTGAACCCAGGAGCAAGGTGCTTTTTCTGGGTCTCCCATGAGAGTGCAGAGTCCCAAGTACTTGGGCCATCCTCTGCTCCTTTCCCAGACATATTATCAGGGAGCTGGATTTGAAATGGAGCAGCCAGGATGCTCCTAAGGAAATGCTGTCTGAACCATGATCACCGTATGAAGTTGACTTTTCATTTTCTTTGTAGAGTGTGTAGTATATAAACAACAGTGATAAATGGTGTTCTTTCAAAAAATGATGATTGGGGTAATATGACATGTCCATATGGTAATATTCAGATATGTATATCTTTTATCAGGATTTTTCATATGATTTTACTCTCCCGTTTGTTCCATTTAACTGTGGACTTTAGTGTTGTTCATACAGGTTAGGGATTGTATAGGACTTCCTGGATAGTGATTATGTATAAAAATTCTTGCAAATTCACTAATTTAAGATACTTTTACTTAATAGATGGATACATTTTGTATGGAAGTATATTTTTCTGTTGCAATATAAGTGGCCTTTTAGCCACTTTAGTTCTAAATTATGAATTTTAAATTATAATTTATGTGTAATTAGACTTTTTCCACTAAGTGATCTAGTGATAAGAAAATGCTGGTGACTTTTCTGTGCAGTTTATGTATTTGAAATAAGGGGCAATTTTGGAATCCTTGATGTAAGAAAGATGAGTTCTTTACTGTTGGCCATTAGAGCAGGGGTCAGTACTGTGTTGGCTGGTAGGCCAAGTCCAGCCTGCCTGTCTGTTTTTAGCTGATGGTTTATCAGAAAGCTTACTCACACATTCCCGTGTATTTACATATAATGGCAGTCTATGTGGTTTACAAAACCATAACTAAATTTTTAAAAAATTAATTTATTTTGGAAAGGCTTATTTACATAGAGAGGGATAGATGGAGATATCCTTCATCCGCTGGCTCACTCCTCAAATGTCTAATGGTCAGAGTTGAGCTGAATCAAAGCCAGGAGTCTCTTCTTTGAGCTGAATCAAAGCCAGGAGTCTCTTCTAGGTCTTCAGTGTGGGTGCAGGGTCCCAAGGTCTCCTCTCTTCCCCAGGCCACAAACAGGGAGCTGGATGGGAAAGCAGAGCAGCTGGGACACAAGCTGGCATCCATATAAGATGCTGGTACTCGCAGGTAGATTAGCCTGTTGAACAATTTCTCTGGCACCAAATAAATTAAAAAAAATTTTTTTTGTAAAATTTATTTTTATTTGAAAGGCAGTGTCAGAGGGAAAAAGATTTTTTTTTCATTTGCTGTTTCATACCCCAAATGTGGACAGCAGTAAGGTCTGGGCTAGGAAGTAGCCTGGAGGCTGGGACCCGGTACTTTGGCTGTTAACCCTGCCTTCCCAGATGCACTGGCTGGAACCTGAGTCAGCAGTGGAGGAACTCTGACTCAAGCCGTGCTCTGGTATGGGGAGTGAACATCCTAAACAGTGGCCTAACTGGCTGTGCCACAATACAGGTGTTTTAACATAGAAATATTGTAACATTAATATTTATTCTTTGACTCTTTATAGGAAGTTTGCTAGCCTCTAATTCAGAGAAACCATTCTGCTGAAAGAATATTTTAGATAGTATTAATGAGGTGCCATGTTATTTATTGTTCTGCTAAGCTTATGGAACTTAAAAAATTATGAACTTCCATATCAGTATTATGAACTTCCGTATCAGTAATTGATAAAAATGTTTTCCTGAGTTATAGGCAATTTCTACAGACTTCAGGGCTTTAAAAGTGCCTTTTGAATTTATGAAGTTTGTTAAGCTGAAATGGCTGTAGGTAAATTTGAAATGAGCATCTCCAGTTTTGGGTCCTTACATTATTTAAGGTGGTTTGGTTGCAAATAGCAGATAATTCTCAAACTCAGTTACACAGTAAAAAGATTTAATGTCTTCTCTAATGAAGTCCGAGGGCCCAAGAATAGTTCAGGTATGGCATCAGACACTGCTCTCTGTATGCCTCTGTCCTGTGATCTTCCCCATTAGCTTCATGCTAAAACTGCCTTCCTCTTGTGCCAGCTTAAAAATAAATAAATCTTTCTTTAAAAATTTTAGCAGGTATCAAAAATTTTCACCAGCAGATGGAAGACTTCTCTCTTCTCACTCAAGAAAGTTTGGCTTTCAAGT